TTTGCCCTAAGACACCCAGCCACCCAGTGCTCTCCTGGCTGGCACACCTCTTGTGCTGAGGCTGTGCCCCCACAATGCATGGGTGAGAGCCCTGCAAGCTGTCAGTTGTAAGAAAACTCAAGATTAACCTGACACAGTCTTTAAGGAGTGGTGATTGCATTGTAGGTGAAAAGGAAATGGGGGAAATTCTTCACACCAGCCTCTGAATGGAGATTGCTGGGTTTTCCCATTTGAATTTCAAGCCTGTAAAGAAGGGCACACATGGGCTTGGCTTTCCTTACTTAGCAATATTGCTGGAGAGCTCTAACTTTCCAAGGATCCAGACCTCTCTCCAGCCTCTGCAAAGCCCTCCGCTCTACAGACGTGCCCTGGGCGGCTTGCAGAATCATCACACAAGGTGGGAGCTTAACCGTCATGCATTGACATGGCAATTGCTCGTGAGCGAGATCTATTTTGTCCCTTGGGGAGTTTATATGTTGTAGAGGGCAAAGCTACACTAACAGGAAATTGTGCTCCACAGGGCTAAGTGCAGCAATAGGGTAGCAAGGGAGTGTACCGACCCTACTGAGGGAACACAGCTCACCAAGAACCACCAGGGAGTTTCTGGCAAGAGACAATGCCAGGAGCATGTCTGGTGCACGAGAGGGAGTCACCCAGGTGAAGAAAATGGACGGGGAGTGCTCGGAAGGGAGGCGGGAATGAGGCCAGTGCAGGCTGGAAAACCGGGAGATGATATCAGGGCTGACGCAGGCAGTGGGGGCGACGATGACGTGGAAGATGAAGTGCAGTTTGAGAGGAAGAAATTGGGGAGACGGTGTCCGAGGTTTAAAATCATGAAGATTGAGGTTGTGGAGGGGAACACATCCCAAAGAAGGCTGGGTCCGTGGGGCGGCATGCTTGCTGAGAGGCCCGGCACTGCAAGGCTCCCATCGAGGGTTTGCTGCAGGACATTTGTCATTCTCACAGGAAGAGCTGAATTCTGAGAATGTATGGGAAAATTTCTGAGATTCTAGCACCGTGAGTTTGGGCTGAGCACCCTCCTCGGTTGTCAACAGTTCAATGCGGGCTTATGATATGCCAGACAAGAGCACTGTGGAGAATGGGACATCCAAGTTGATAGTAGGTGCGATGCTCCCTGCTGCTGTGGGAGATGCCGGGAAACGCATTCAGGGTGGGAGACTTCTTGGCAGAGGCTGGAAGGGCTTCACAGGGGAGGTAGAGCAGGAGCTTGCCAGGCAGAAGAGGGAAGGAGGGAAGGAAGGCCATTCCTGCAACAGGCTCGGTGTGGGAGCATGGGCAGGCCTGGCATTATGGCATCATGGCAAAGGTGACTTAAAGGATCTCCAGAAAGCCATTGTCTTTCAGAGGGTCGTAGTGTGTGCCAAGAATCTGAACAGCCTTTCAGAAGCACCAAGTTGCGCTAACACCCTCTCCTAACCTGACTGGCTTGGAACCTACCTGTCTTAGAATCACAGTGCCAGCTGAGGAAGGGAGACTTTCTCTGTGTAACATTTACCGTATCGTTTCCTAACCTTTGACCTGCACATTCGCCTCCTTTGAAAGTTATGGTTTTGTGGTTAGCTGAGTGTTAAAAGCCTATAGGTTTCAAACCTCTGTCATTATAACTTTACCAGGAGTCTGAAGATGAACAGAATCATCACCCCAGTGAAACCCTTCAGTTACCTATACCTGCAGGGACTCAGGAGGGATCATCAAATATCTCCGAGTTTAAGTGTCACAATGATGTTTCTTTCTTAATGCATTGTCATAGCTTGTTCTAACCTTATCAATAGAAGAATCTATTTAAATCAAACCAAACTTATTATACACTTCAGTTGGAGTCTGTTTACTTTAGTTCCAGTTTTTGAAGATATGTTCCAAGTAATAAAATTCCACATGCAGAGTTCGAATAAAGGCATTGAATAAGCCTTGCTCTTCTCCAGGAAAAGGTATGCGAATCCCAGGAATCGTGCCAGGTTTGTTAACGAGTGCTGTAGTTAACCCCCTTTTGTTCTCCAAGGGTCTTGCTTTATCACCCAGCCTGGAGTGCAGCTTCAGGACCTTGGCTCCCTGCAGCTATGGCCTCCCACACTCAACGATCCTCCCACTTCAGCCTCCCAGGTAGCTGGGACTACAGGCGTGCACCACCATGCCTGGCTAAGTTTTGAATTTTTGGGTGAGACAGGGTTTCGCCACGTTGCCCAGGCTGGTCTCGAACTCCTGGGCTCAAGCAGTCCTCCAGCCTTGGCCTCCCAAAGTACTGGTATCACAGATGTGAGGCAGCACACCCAGCCTACAGTAGCATTTTCAACACCGAATGAAACAGAGCAAAATGAACGGGCTGCTACTGGAGCCATGTGTGGATGACCAGAATGGAGACATCGCTTACTGTTCTTGGTTTCACACGGCACGTCAAAGGCTGTCAGGACTGTCCTGGGCCGTGGAGAGCCACCAAGCCCTGCAATTTGTAGCACATACAATAGTGTCACATCAACTTTCTTCAAAAACAACATTGTCCTGAGCCCACACACTCCATTGACATCCAGGTCAAAATAAGTTTTCCACTAATGCTTTGCTGTGGGGTTCAGTCCTTCACTCATTGGGCAGATACTGACTGAGTGCCCGTGGACGTGCGGGAAGACAGCGGTGAAGAAGACTGGCAAGGGCTGTGTTTTCATGGATTTATGTTCCATAGAAGGGAAAACAGAGAAACGTAAATGGAAAAAATGCAGTAGGGCATAGCATCGGGGGTGCGTGACTGGCCAGCCGCCTGCAGTCCCCTCTGCTGGCGTGAGTCTGAGCCCATCTTCCCTGCCTCCACACCGATGTGGTGTGCCATAGCAAACTGTGGTGATGGCATGGTTAATGTCACATTTCTCCTCTAAAGTGTTGAGAGCTTAACATGTCTTTTTTCTCACTGAATAATGGAGGAAAATATTAAGTACCAGCCAAGGACTGAGCCAGTGAGGGCCGGAGACAGTGAGGACCAGAGACAGTGAGGGCCAGATCTGGAGGTATGCAGGGCTCCCCATCTAACTTTCCCAGACATCAGGAGAGAGGATCACCCTCCTGGGCAAAGAGGAGCTGCCCCGGGGCTGGCAGGGGAGTCCCCCCCACCTCCTCTGACACAGGCTCAGCCAGCCCACAGCAACCCCCTGGGATCCCCACTGCCTGCCCCACTCCCTCCCACTGCCACTCACTCAGGAGCCACGCCTCTGTGTCATCAAAGCCACCAGAGCAGGAGACTCCACACACCACTCCCTCCCTCTCATCCCCACCCACCGCACAGCAGGACACCATCATCTTGCAGGCAGACAATGAGGATAGGACAGCTATTGAGAAAAGCGCGTGGCTTCGGAGGCTCAGGACATGTCCCGACGGCACCTGCAGGTTTTCTTTTCCTGGGGCCGCGGGCACTGGCGGTGCTGCACCTGCCGCGGGCCAGCGCCCTGCCTGTCAGTCGCATACCTGGGCGCTGGTGCAGGCCCTGGCCTGCTCCACATCCTGCCCTGCTGCGGTTCTGTCTCCCCACTGCACCCCCGCTCAGTAGACTGCGGAGCAAGGCTGTCCCTCCCAGACCTGCCATTTGATTTTCTAGAATCCTGTGGCCGTGAAAGAAGAGAAAAACACAGCCCTTTTTGCCTCTCCCTCCGGGCCACAGGCCAGGGTGAGACCTTGCTTGCCTTTATCCAATCTGTTGTCAGTCAATTTCTTTCCTTATTTTGGTGTCGGAGAAGCAAACCCTTTTCACACATATGGTTCACGCTGTGTTTACACTAGTGGGTATCTCGGGAGATGAAACCCATCGTTTAGCAAAACAGGGATTTGTCGACATGAGCAGGCCAGTGTTCTTGTCTAACAGCACCAACAGGTAAGCTCTCCATGAAAGCAAAGGCTGTATGCTACTGGATCTTTATTCAAGCTCTAAGAGAGGTCTGCAGAGATGAACCTGTTCAGAGAGACAGGGGGAGGCAGACTCAGAGGAAGTGGCAGGAAGCAACTCCTGAGCAGGGGCCTGGCTGAGAGCAGCGCAGGGCGTCCCCGCGGGTGTGGAGGCCCGTCCTCGGCCCTGGAGCCGTGTCTGGCTCGGTAGCAAGGCTGGACTCCAAGGTCTGCAGTCTTCCCACCGCTGTATTTTGTTCCTTGGTGCTGGAGCAATGAGGACGTTTTGCTGTTAGTGGTGGAGTGGGTGCCCCTGACTTTGCGATGACAGCAGTGATTGAAACACTCCGTATTCTCTGATGACAGGAGTGAAAAATCTCGTTTTCTGCTTTATTGGAGCTGTTCACACAGGCTGTGCATTGAACCTAGAGAATGCTCCGTCCACTGCACAGGTGACGGGCACTTAAGTGACCATCATCTGGTCAGTGGGTGTCTGGTGGCAAAGGGAGGGAGGCGGTGACAGTGTCCTTCAGGGTGGAGGGCGCCTGAGTTTCACCCATGTAAGCTAATTCCCTCTCGCCTGGCAAACCCCGCAGGCCCAGAACTCTGTGTGAGTGGCTGGGGCCCCATAATAGGGGCAGTGTGGAGCCAAACAGGCTGGAGGGGGGCAGAAATAAAGGGGATGTGTGTTAGGGGAGGAATGTTTTCTTGAGGGATCTATGGCAGCAGAGCTGCCCAGTGAGCCACAGATGACGGTGGAAGGAGCCAGGCCGTGCAGCACCCAGGCTGGGGTGATGGTGCACAGACGTGCGGACGTATGGGGGTGGTCTGGCACATCCTGGGACCACTGTGCTGCCCCGAACTTTCCAGGCAGAGCCCCACATGCGCATGAAAGGGGCAAGGGTGGCATCCGTCCACTTGATGGGCACCTTGGGGATAAATCTCTTTTTAATGGTAGATGTACTGCCGGGCCCTCCAAAGCAGATCAGTCCTCTTCCCAGCCAGCAAGCCCACTCAGCCCTTCAGGTCCGCGGAGGAACGTGGTCTGCCTTACTGCTGGTGGACGGCCCATCAGTGTCCTTGCTCATGGTGGCTGGCCATGTGATTCCCAGCTGCCATAAAGACCACTTGATGTAATAACATTTCTTTAGGTGCGGATAGTACTAGCATAACATTTGGATTGAAACACCTTCCCATCCATTGTGGTAATGGTTGTTCCTTAGGGACTTAGCGCTATTAAACTAAACCATAGACTTCATTTCTCCAGGTGAAAGAAGAGATCTCCTTGGCAGTGTGGGACATGTTTGCCATGTGCCAAGGGCCATGCTTGCTTGGCCTCCAGGCTGCCCAGACCCAAGCTTCTCCCTGGTGCCCGTGCTGCACCGCAGGGCCCAGCGGAATGTGGACTTTGCCTCAACAGGGCTGGGACCCAAGACTGCAGGAGTCTGGGGTGCTGGGTCTCCGTGGGCATGAGGCTGGGGGTCTGGGCTGCCCACACTGCACAGTGAAGGGCCACTGGTGCTTCCAGATTCACCTTCTAGAGAGTGGGGAGCTCCCTTGGATGGATGCTCCGCTGAAGATGGACTCTGGGGGTGCTCTTGGGCACCAACACAGGCCCATCCTAGGTACATCGCCGGCTCTGCGCTCCGCTCCCATTCACTTCGGCCACCACTGTGTTAGTCACGTGTCAACCGCAGGGCAAGGGAGAGCCTAACAGCAGACACTTGTTCCCATGAGCCGTATGTGTGCAGGTAGGCTGCAACGCAACAGGTGCTACTGTGAGCAAGGCTGCCCCTTCCTGCTCCCACAGAGCCTGCGTACTATCCTGGAGCCTGTGCTCAGCTGTCTCCCCTGCCTGCCCATGGGCTGTGCATTTTTCTTAAGAGAAGGTGAGCACACTGCTCTGTCTGTCTTCCTTTTCTTTCCTTCCTTCCTTCCCTCCCTCCCTTCCTTCTTCCCTCCTTCCTTCCTTCCTTTCCTCCCTCCTTCCTTCCTTCCCTCCCTCCTTCCCTCCTTCCTTCCTTCCCTCCCTACCTCCTTCTTTTCTCCCTCCCTTCCTTCCCTGCCTCCCTCCCTCCCTCCTTCCTTCCTTTTCCTTCCCTCCCTCCCTTCCTCCTTCCTTCCCTTCTTCCTTCCTTCCCTCCCTCCCTCCTTCCTTCCCTCTTTCCTTCCTTCCCTCCCTCCTTCCTTCCTTCCCACCCTCCTTCCTTTCCGCCTCCTTCCTTCCTTCCCTCCCTCCTTCCTTCCCTCCCTCCCTCCTTCATTCCTTCCTTCCCTCCTTCCCTTCCTCCCTCCCTCCTTCTTTCCCTTCTTCCTTCCCTCCCTCCTTCTTTCCTCCCTCCCTCCCTCCTTCCTTCCCTCCTTCCCTCCCTCCCTTCCTCCCTCCCTCCCTCCTTCTTTCCCTCCCTCCCTCTCTCCTTCCTTCCTTCCCTCCTTCCCTTCCTCCCTCCCTCCTTCTTTCCTTTCTTCCTTCCTTCCCTCCCTCCCTCCTTCCTTCCCTCTTTCCTTCCCTCCCTCCCTCCCTCCCTCCCTCCCTCCTCCTTCCTTCCTTCCTTCCTTCCTTCCTTCCTTCCTTCCTTCCTTCCTTCCTTCCTTCCCTTCTCTCCTTCTCTCTCTTTTCTTGAGACAAAGTCTCACTCTGTTGCACAGGCTAGAGTGCAATGACACTATCTCGGCTCACTGCAACCTCTGCCTCCCGGGTTCAAGCGATTCTCGCGACTCAGCCTCCAGAGCAGCTAGGATTATAGGCACCTGCCACCATACCTGGCTAATTTTTTATTTTTTTAGTAGAGATGGGTTTCACCATGTTGGTAGGCTAAACTCCTGAACTCAGGTGATCCACCCGCCTCAGCCTCCCAAAGTGTTGGGATTACAGGCATGAACCCCTGCACCCGTTTTTCGGTACCCCATCCCTGGCAACCCCTCCATAAACAGAAGGCTCAGCATATCCCTATTGCTCAATCCATTTTTACTTTCCCTGCTTTCTGCTCATGCTCACCCAGCTTGCAGGTGTCCATCAAAGGACAGCTCTAGGTGCTACTAGATGCACTTGTACAGTGAGTGCTACTGTGGTCCTATGTCCGCACTCTTACTTGTTTATAAGACACCAACTTAGCATGGCCACATAGAGTTTGTGTGGCCGAGGGCACTAAGGCCTTACTTTTCCCGCTCTCTCAGCCATCAGCATCAGCCAGCTGGTCTGCCCACCTGCATCTGCCCACCTGCATCTGCTCACCTGCGCCTGCCCACCTGTGCCTGCCCACCTGCTCCTGCCCACCTGCGTCTGCTCATCTGCGCCTGCCCACCTGCGCCTGCCCACCTGCGCCTGCTCAGCTGCGCCTGCCCACCTGTGCCTGCCCACCTGCATCTGCTCACCTGCGTCTGCCCACCTGCATCTGCCCACCTGCATCTGCTCACCTGCGTCTGCCCACCTGCGTCTGCTCATCTGCACCTGCCCACCTGCGCCTGCTCAGCTGCACCTGCCCACCTGTGCCTGCCCACCTGCATCTGCTCACCTGCGTCTGCCCACCTGCATCTGCCCACCTGCATCTGCTCACCTGCGTCTGCCCACCTGCGTCTGCTCATCTGCGCCTGCCCACCTGCTCCTGCCCACCTGCGCCTGCCCACCTGCGTCTGCCCACCTGCTCCTGCCCACCTGCGCCTGCCCACCTGCGTCTGCTCATCTGCGCCTGCCCACCTGCGCCTGCTCAGCTGCGCCTGCCCACCTGCGTCTGCCCACCTGTGTCTGCTCACCTGCGTCTGCTCATCTGCGCCTGCCCACCTGCACCTGCTCAGCTGCGCCTGCTCAGCTGTGCCTGCTCACCTGCATCTGCTCACCTGCGCCTGCCCACCTGCACCTGCCCACCTGCGCCTGCTCAGCTGCGCCTGCCCACCTGCATCTCCTCACTTGCATCTGCTCACCTGTGCCTGCCCACCTGCGCCTGCCCACCTGCGCCTGCCCAGCTGCGCCTGCCCACCTGCATCTGCCCACCTGCTCCTGCCCACCTGCATCTGCTCACCTGTGCCTGCCCACCTGTCTGCTCACCTGTGTCTGCTCACTTGTGCCTGCCCACCTGCGCCTGCTCACCTGCGCCTGCCCACTGTGCCTGCTGCTATCAGAGCTGAGAGCAGGGCGGCTTTTGCAGCTTAGCCTTCAGGAGCCAGTGGGCAGGAGCAGCCTGCGTCCTGAGGCTGTAGTCAAAGGTCTGGAGGCACATCTGCTACCCGTCTGGTTCACCTTTACCAGGAACTCCATTGTCCCATAACCCTCCATGAAGCGACTGGAATAGTCACAGGGTGAGTAGAAAACTGTGTGCATTAAACTAGAGGCTTCCTCAGCAGGACATGCAAGTAAGTGCAAAACCAGGTGGAGCTCAGGACATGGGAGATGCAGAGAGGAGGCCTCACTGCCTGTGTGAGTTCATGCATGCCTGTGTGCACAGAGGAATGCACACTTGCACGCCCACACATGCATGTGCACACACAACACATGTGCACACCCACGCCCACACACATGCATGTGCACATACATACACATACATGCACACCCACACATATGCACACACACATACACAACACACATGCACACCCACACATGCATGCATACATACATGCACACACATGCACATCCACACACATGCATGAACACACACAACACACGTGCATGCCCACACACATGCATGACCACACACATGCATGTGTGCATACATGCACACACATATGCACCCCCACACATGCATGTGCACACAACCCAAACTTCATTCAGACTGGAAAACAAAGTGCTCTAAAACTCACACATGCACGCCCACACACATGCACACCACACACATGCACACCACACACATGCATGTGCACATACACAACACACGTGCACACACAACACACATGCACGCCCACACACATGCATGTGCACACAACCCAACTTCATTCAGACCGGAAAACAAAGTGCTCTAAAACTCACAGAGCAATAGGTTTCATTTGGGAGGTAATAGGTATAGGAAAAAGTTTCTTCACAGTGAGCTGTGTGCCTCTGGGCATTGTTTTCCTAAAGAGAACACCCCTGGCTGCTCAGACAACAGGGATACTCATTTGACCAAGTGTCAGTATTCTGTAGAAGTACACATTGCATTCTTAGCTTGCAATTTTGCAGGGAAGGTGTTTGTGTATTACACAGTGAGGAATCTTAATCACCTACGCGCGGCAGCTGAACTGCCGGCCCGGCCCATTTAGGACGTGGATCCCTGGAGGAATTCCAGTTCTGCCCTGGTATAGCTGCAGGTGGGCTGGCAGCTGGACGCACCGAGCACTGCCTGAACACTGGGAGGGGCGACCCAGGTGACATGCAGGATCAGCATGGCTGTTCGCAAGAGCATGACACTGGACAGGAGAACACTGCTGAAAACACGGCCCTTTGCGTGACACCACAGTCATGAGAGCTGACGAGTGCTGAACATCTCCCATGTGCCGGGCATCCTCTGGGTGCTTTCAGTCTATTCACCTAAATCTTCCCCACCCTGCATGGCAGGTGTTCTAAGGACACCCCCACCCCCCGATGACTGTGTACAGTGAGGCATGGAGTGCTCCAGGCCCCCGGACTGCAGTCTGACCTGGCCGCCGCCTCTCCTGTAGGGAGCATGTCTTGGCATGGCACTCAGCTCTTGCTCAGTGGCCCAAGCAGAGGTGTGCTTGCTCCAACCAAGGGGATCAGCTGTGAGCGCTGGGTTCAGGGCACAGGGCAGGGTGCAGGGCTCAGAGCCCCTTCCCAGGAGGCTGCTGCAGGGGCCCTGTGAGGCTGGAGAGGGAAGGAAGGGCTTGGGTACACCACTAGCTGGGCAGCACTGCTCCTGTCCCTGGGTCTAGCCGGGGAGCACTTCTCCTGTCCCTGGGTCTAGCGGGGAGCATTCCTACTTTCCCTGGGACTACCCAGGAGCATTGCTCCTGTCCTTGGGTCTAGCTAGAGAGCACCACTCCTTTCTCTGGGTCTGGCTGGGAGCACTACTCCTGTCCCTGGGTCTAGCTGGAGAGCACTACTCCTGTCCCTGGGTCTAGCCGGGGAGCACTGCTCCTGTCCCTGGGTCTAGCTGGAGAGCACTACTCCTGTCCCTGGGTCTAGCCGGGGAGCACTGCTCCTGTCCCTGGGTCTAGCCGGAGAGCACTACTCCTGTCCCTGGGTCTAGCCGGGGAGCACTGCTCCTGTCCCTGGGTCTAGCCGGGGAGCACTGCTCCTGTCCCTGGGTCTAGCTGGGGAGCACTGCTTCTGTCCCTGGGTCTAGCTGGGGAGCACTACTCCCTTCACTGGGACTACCCAGGGAGCACTACTCCTGTCCTGTGTCTAGCTGGGAGCACTATTCTTGTCCCTGGGCCTAGCTGGGGAGCACTACTCCCTTCACTGGGACTACCCAGGGAGCACTACTCCTGTCCTGTGTCTAGCTGGGAGCACTATTCTTGTCCCTGGGCCTAGCTGGGGAGCACTACTCCCTTCACTGGGACTACCCAGGGAGCACTGCTCCTGTCCTGTGTCTAGCTGGGAGCACTATTCCTGTCCCTGGGCCTAGCTGGGGAGCACCACTCTCTTCTCTGGGTCTGGCTGGGAGCAGGACTCCTTTCCCTGGGCCCAGCCGGGAGCTCATGCTGCCTCCTTCCTCCTTGGCTGCAGTCAGTATGACAAGCACAACATGGAGTTAACTTCTGCAAAGGAAAATGCCCTCCGATTCCCCACTCCCCTCAAATGTAAACCAGCCCTTTCTGAGGAGGGCAGGCGATCCTCTTGATCAGGTATTCAGAGTTGGCAAAAGACACGTGGCTCCATTGCTTTCTCCTGCTTCCAGCTGAATGTGATAATTGCTTATTTTCAGAACTGCCTCTGGTGACAGGTCATGAGCAGGCTGAAAGGCAACAGAGAGGCCCCGGAGCACCCGCAGTGTGTGCTCACCCATGTGCGCTCCTGCGATGTGCAGGGACTCAGGCAGCTCTGGGAAATTCTTGGGGTTGTGAGCACTGAGCTGAAATGGTTGGAGCCACTGTGTGGCAGATGGCTGAGGGGGGACAGAAGCAGTGCTCCCCACCTAGACCCACGGACAGGAGTACTGCTCCCCACCTAGACCCAGGAACAGGAGCAGTGCTGCTCAGCTAGACCCAGGAACAAGAGCAGTGCTGCTCAGCTAGACCCAGGATAGGAGTAGTGCCCCCCGGCTAGACCCAGGAACAAGAGCAGTGCTCCCCACCTAGACCCATGGACAGAAGCAGTGCTCCCCACCTAGACCCATGGACAGGAGTACTGCTCCCCACCTAGACCCAGGAACAGGAGCAGTGCTGCTCAGCTAGACCCAGGAACAAGAGCAGTGCTGCTCAGCTAGACCCAGGAACAAGAGCAGTGCTGCTCAGCTAGATCCAGGAACAAGAGCAGTGCTGCTCAGCTAGACCCAGGAACAGGAGCAGTGCTGCTCAGCTAGACCCAGGAACAGGAGCAGTGCTGCTCAGCTAGACCCAGGAACAAGAGCAGTGCTCCCCAGCTAGACCCAGGAACAAGAGCAGTGCTCCCCACCTAGACCCAGGAACAGGAGCAGTGCTGCTCAGCTAGACCCAGGAACAGGAGCAGTGCTGCTCAGCTAGACCCAGGAACAGGAGCAGTGCTGCTCAGCTAGACCCAGGAACAAGAGCAGTGCTGCTCAGCTAGACCCAGGAACAGGAGCAGTGCTGCTCAGCTAGACCCAGGAACAGGAGCAGTGCTGCTCAGCTAGACCCAGGAACAAGAGCAGTGCTCCCCACCTAGACCCAGGAACAGGAGCAGTGCTGCTCAGCTAGACCCAGGAACAGGAGCAGTGCTCCCCACCTAGACCCAGGAACAAGAGCAGTGCTCCCCAGCTAGACCCAGGAACAAGAGCAGTGCTCCCCAGCTAGACCCAGGAACAAGAGCAGTGCTCCCCACCTAGACCCAGGAACAGGAGCAGTGCTGCTCAGCTAGACCCAGGAACAGGAGCAGTGCTCCCCACCTAGACCCAGGAACAAGAGCAGTGCTCCCCACCTAGACCCAGGAACAGGAGCAGTGCTCCCCAGCTAGACCCAGGAACAGGAGCAGTGCTCCCCACCTAGACCCAGGAACAAGAGCAGTGCTCCCCACCTAGACCCAGGAACAGGAGCAGTGCTGCTCAGCTAGACCCAGGAACAGGAGCAGTGCTGCTCAGCTAGACCCAGGAACAGGAGCAGTGCTCCCCAGCTAGACCCAGGAACAGGAGCAGTGCTCCCCACCTAGACCCAGGAACAGGAGCAGTGCTGCTCAGCTAGACCCAGGAACAGGAGCAGTGCTGCTCAGCTAGACCCAGGAACAAGAGCAGTGCTCCCCACCTAGACCCAGGAACAGGAGCAGTGCTGCTCAGCTAGACCCAGGAACAGGAGCAGTGCTGCTCAGCTAGACCCAGGAACAGGAGCAGTGCTGCTCAGCTAGACCCAGGAACAAGAGCAGTGCTGCTCAGCTAGACCCAGGAACAGGAGCAGTGCTCCCCACCTAGACCCAGGAACAAGAGCAGTGCTCCCCAGCTAGACCCAGGAACAGGAGCAGTGCTCCCCAGCTAGACCCAGGAACAGGAGCAGTGCTCCCCAGCTAGACCCAGGAACAAGAGCAGTGCTCCCCACCTAGACCCAGGAACAGGAGCAGTGCTGCTCAGCTAGACCCAGGAACAGGAGCAGTGCTGCTCAGCTAGACCCAGGAACAAGAGCAGTGCTCCCCAGCTAGACCCAGGATAGGAGTAGTGCTCCCCGGCTAGACCCAGGGACAGGAGTAGTGCTCCCAGCCAGACCCAGAGAAAGGAGTGGTGCTCTCCCGGGCATGGAGGGACAGTGGGTCGTGCTCACAGGGGCACTCCACAGCCAACAGACTGCCAGGTTCATGCAGCCTGGGAGAGAGGGCATGGAGGGGCGCTCTGCTGGGGAAAGAGGACCTGCCCAGTGGCTGGCAGGGGAGTCCCCCCCACCTCCTCTGGCACAGGCTCAGCCAGCCGACAACAGCCCCCTGGGATCCCCACTGCCTGCCCCACTCCCTCCCACTGCCACTCACTCAGGAGCCACGCCTCTGTGTCATCAAAGCCACCAGAGCAGGAGACTCCACACACCACTCCCTCCCTCTCATCCCCACCCACCGCACAGCAGGACACCATCATCTTGCAGGCAGACAATGAGGATAGGACAGCTATTGAGAAAAGCGCGTGGCTTCGGAGGCTCAGGACATGTCCCGACGGCACCTGCAGGTTTTCTTTTCCTGGGGCCGCGGGCACTGGCGGTGCTGCACCTGCCGCGGGCCAGCGCCCTGCCTGTCAGCCGCATACCTGGGCGCTGGTGCAGGCCCTGGCCTGCTCCACATCCTGCCCTGCTGCGGTTCTGTCTCTCCACTGCACCCCCGCTCAGGAGACTGTGGAGCAAGGCTGTCCCTCCCAGACCTGCCATTTGATTTTCTAGAATCCTGTGGCCATGAGAGGAGAGAAAAACACCACTCCCTTAACTCTCTGCTTACCTGTTTCCTTTTTTAAAGAAAAAACATGGCATGAAAACTGTTTTCTCCAGCCAGTTAATCTTTTTCTTTTTCTGCCTCCCCCTTGCCTCCCTTCCTTGATCTTGTTTTCCTCCTCCTCCTTTTCTTTCTTCCTCCTCTTCCTCCTCCTTTTTCAAGACAGCAAACAGCAACTCTTTCCTCCTAGACTGAGTGGTCCGTATGGGTAGGGGCAGGGCCGCTTCTGCACAGCGTTTTCGTTGTCTGGGATGGGGTCTGCTGGCGCTGGCTGCACACTTCATGCACACATCCCACGGGGTAACTTTCAGGGTCCCTTGAAATACGGAGGGTGCATCCACTTCCTGGTTAGCGACTAACTTGAATTCCTGGGGGTGCTATGCTTTTTTCTGTGTTTATATGAATCAAAATACAGTACCAAGAAATGAGAAATTTGAAGAGGGAAGCAGCTTGCCTTGCACTCAGTCAGATTCACGCTAACCCGATTAAGAACACAGCAGGTGGACCACGGCATGCATTTGGCTTATTGGAGCTCACGTAACTTGGATGCAAGTTCATGTTGATTTGATGGGATTTTAGACTTTTATGCTTTCATACAAATCACATCTCATTCATTTTCTTTTGATATTTTACCACGTTAGAGCCAGCATAACAAACACCTTAAATCTTGAATGTGGTTAATCAGAATCCTCGTCACGCTCAGTGTGATGCCAGTTGCCTTAGAATTGGTGAACTCTTGATGGGATGAGAAAGAAATTCAAAGAACTCTACTGCACGTGGTAAACGGAATACACTACGGTGTGTATGTCTGTGTGTCCTGTGTCGTGAGGGAGATGTGAGTGTGTTGGGGGGAGGGTAGTTTCACTAATGCTGACTCCAACAGGGTAGGATTCATGAGCATTCCAGTGATGTTTACACCAGCACTTTATCCGACTTTCATGAGGTTCATTTTTCTAAATTCAACTATTGAAGCTATTTTAGAAATATCCTTCAGCTTCCTTATACTAAGAGACTTAAGCAACGCCATGCATTTGTTACAGGAGGGACTCAGAAACCTGGGTTCCCCATTTCTGGGCTGTTGGTGTCTGTACTTATTCATTACACCTGAGCGCCTATGAAGAAGCTAAGCATGCTGCAAGCTAGGACACACATGTCCCTGTCCCGACACACCTACCAGAATCCATGCATTCAGATCATACTTACGGTTATTCAGAGGGGGAGATGGCTTCCGTCTTTGTAACATGATGTAACAGACGTTATGTCATTCAATCCTGCCTTACAGAAACCCTGCGAGATAGAGGCAGAGAGAGCAGGTGTTATTCCCATTTTTAGATAAGTGTAATTTATGAAGTAATTCGTAACCTATAAGTAGGATGACAATATATCCTGCTTTGCCTGGGAAAACCCCAGATAACACTGTGCTGATGTAATTATGAGCATCTCCTTTCACGATACCATCCCATAGGGGATGATAAATGCCATGTTCCCTACCAAGCTAGAATCACTTTTCACTTATATCACACTTTCAAAGTTCATGTGACCTGTGCCAGGCCAGGTGGTATCTTGTGACAATAAGAGGTGGTCGGCACTGGAGCATTGGTCCGGGCCTGGGCTGCAGGTCAGACCTGGCACACATCCTGGCTGTATCCCGGCTGTCCATACTTGCGCTGGTGACTGGCATCTGGAAAGCACCACATTATAGTTTATTGTGTTTGCCACTTTATCTCATGGCCTTTAGTCATTGGCACCTTTTTCTTCTCCAGGTAGAAGGCTTTCCCTGACTTCATCTGAGAGGGCTCGAAGAAGCATTCCTGGTCCCTCTCCAGTTGAGGAGTCCGGCTTCCACCATTCTCCTCACTAACGGGTGGTAGTCTCAGCCTCTCCTCTTTTTTTGCATGCTCTGCTGACGCTCCTCTCACTCTGCCTCCCTTGGCAACACCAGAGTTTTCCAGCCTAGTGACCACTCCATGTTCTCCACCATACCTGGCTTGGTAAGGCCAGGTCCCAGCCTCATGTCCAGATTCTTATTAGCACCAAATACAAAAGATGTTACATCCAAGCCGGAAACTTCCACTAAAGAAAGCAAATCCCAAGGCGTGTTCAGATGAAAAGAGTGGGTAGGAGAGGAATCGATGATCTCACAATACATGTGTACCACATAGCAACCCTGCCTGGTCCATGGGGGTCCGCTGGGAGATTCTGGAGCTGTGCACAGTCACTCACACCACAGAGTAAGCGGAGAATGTGTGGCAAGAACCGAGTTGCTTTAGACAAATGTCTCTTCAGCGTTAGAACTAGGTAAGGTCTGAATCTTGGCTTCTGCCGTTTAGGAGATTTATGATTTTCCTAACTGCAATTTCCTCAATGTGTAGGATGAAAAATCTGTAAGTCATGTTTACCTCTTAGGATAGTTGGAAGAAATTAGTGAGATAACACATGTAAAATGCTTAGCACACCATGTGGAACAAAAGCGCTCATTGGATTTTTGTTTCATGTATTATTGAGATTATGGGCATTTTAGAAATTTTATTTATTCCATTTTCAGATACTTTATCATGTATCTGAAGGATTCATGAAGGAAGACAGGACTACATGGTTTTAATTAACCTCCCAGATTTCCCGTGCTTTCGGGCTAATTAGATATACTGGGAGGCAGTGACTCAGGTTCTAAATGCCACTCACAGAGAGAATTCCTGAATCCTTCTGCTCCCTTCCACACTGCTCTCTGTCTTCAGGCTCAGCGATATGTGGCTCCGAGTGGTGGCGTCCTCCCTCAGGAAACAGGCTGCTCAGGTCCCCTTCATGCACATGAGGCCTTGGAGACGCTGATGGGAGGTGGCGAGTGTGGCTCATGCTAGGAGAGGGCAGCCTGGGTTTCAGCCAGTCCCTCCACGCCGACAAGTCCTCACCCCAGGGACCTCTGTGGTCCTAGCTAGGGCCACATAATAGGGGCAGTGGAGCAAAACGGACAAGAGGAAGGTAAAAATGATTGAGGATATGTGTTTTCATGGGGGAATATTTTCCTGATGGGTTAGGTAGGAGGCTTGAGGTCCATGGAAAGCCACAAATGACCGATGGTGGGGCTGGGGCAGTGAGCTGCTGCCCTGGCAGTGAGATCCATAAAGGCACTTCAAATGCAGACACGTGCCCAGCCTCCCTGAGGATGCCTCCCTGTTAGATCTCTTGCCTTTTTCACTTTCCCAGAAAACTGAGCAAGTTGACCTGAGATGTATCTGTGAGAAGTGGCCTTTGATTTACTTGCTACATGTTTGGGGGCTTCTCCCTCAATGGTAACTTAGACTGGAAACACTCCAGGACACCATCTGCCTCACTGCCTGACAGAGAGGGCAGTCACTGGTCAGAAAATGCAGATGTGTTACTTCTGCCTCTTTTTGAAATATGACGGAGCCATCCTCACAGCTTGCTGAATTGTAAGTAATGTACATGTGGGTTACATTTCTATGTTATTATGTATATTTTGTAGTGTCTCTCTGTCTAATGCAATTCCCAACCCTCCCTTGGTGGCACTTGGTGAGAATTAACCACTAGCTGTGGATGACTGGACAAACGTCAGAGGTGACTCTGGGAGGAAATGGCCCCTGAGATAAGACGCAGGGTCAGGAAAAGCGCAGGAGCTACAGGGCAGCTCAGAGGAACTTTCTCCAGATGCTTGTCTTCAGAGTTCCCGAGTAATTGATTTGAATCCCCTTTAGCAACTTCTTTAATACAAATGATATAACTTTGTGGTGGGGGGAGGCAGGAGAGACGTTATGAGCATGAATCCAAGCAGTGGCAGGTGACAACACAGCACATGGTCTGGAATTATCACTTTACATTGTGAATGGGGTGAGGGCAGGGACAACTGACTGGGGAATATATTAACCCTCGTGGTGTTGCACAAAGTAGGAACTTAGTGAATGTTTTGGATGATTTTATGGTGCAAGCACTTGCAGGCCTGGTTTCTTACAAGTGCAGTCTTGTACACAGAGATATTTGCAGGTTAAGAATGCAGGACTACCAGTTTTCAGTGGTGGTTTTAAAATCCTGTAGTTGAAAAAAAAAGCACTTGATTGTTTCCCAAACAGAATCCTCCATGCTGCTTACGAGCTGATGTCTACCTCTCCTAAAGGAGCCTAGCCTGGCTTTCTGCTACTCCACACAAAGTGCTGGGAGGAGAAGAAGAAGCCAATGAGAGGAGCCAGTTAGAGGAAGATTATCGCTGATCCTCCAAATTATAACTGCTCATCCACAGTCTTAACCCAGCCCACACAAATGTAGGCAAAGACCAAGGTCAGCCAGGTTGGCTGTACTTAGCGGGGAGAAAAGTTAGGCCAGGCCTAGCAGTGGGAAGGTAAGGGTATAGAATGGGCAAGAGGGGAGAGACAGCTTTTCCTTAAAGCAATCCCAAGGGCACTCAGACGCCCTTACTATGTGGCGAGTGAATTTTCAGTGTTACAGTCATCACAAGTTGCTGCAGTAGTGAAATTAAGAGACTCCATCAATATAGAGACAGCAGCATCAGGAAGTGATTTGGGGACTTTATGATGAACAGCAGAGGAGACTAGATATATTGGGAAGCTCCTGAACAGAATGTATGAATTCTCATAGTCTAGTGTCATCATCATCTTATGCTGGATTAAAATTATTTAGGGTTTTTTTGTTGTTAACGTTTTTTAGGTTTAAATGTCCAGTAATAAAAGAGGGTTATTTATATGGAGGTCAGTATACACTCAACATACAATAAAAAATTTAGGTACAGATGTCTAAGGTGAGTACTTTAAATGATAAATTAAAATCATGTTCATAATGGTCCGGGACACTTGTAAGGAAATTAAAAGAATGTATATTGCAGGGAAAGGGATTCTCATACATTAAGCGTAGCAGTTCAATTGGAAGCCTTTAGTAACCTAGCAACATGTGCTAGAAATCTCAGAATTATGCAGAGCCTCTAATCCAACAATTTTACGTTTACAAACTTACCCCAAGAAAGTAAGCACTGAGCCATGTGAAAAGGTTTATCTACAGGGGATGCTCATTATTAGAATTATTTATATTAACAACAGTGTGGAAACAGCTGACATGTCAATGGCAGGAAAGTGGTTTAATGGAGTCAGTCATGATGGAATACTAGGCGGCCATTACAAGTCAAGCTACAGACAAATTATGAATGACCTCAAAAAATGTTCATGAAATAGTGGTACATGAAGACAAAAGTGCATTTTCAGCACCATCATCTGAAAAATACAGTGCTGTCTTTGCAAAGATATGGGTGTACTTACAAATGCATTATAAAAGCCTGGAAGGATTTAAACCAGAATTTAATCAATATTTTAATCTTATTTTTAAATTTCCTAAATATCTGAAATATTCTTCAGAGAACCTCAATACTTTGTAATCAGAAAAATTAGCTAAAAAATTAAAAGCAGGCAACTCATATCAACAAGATCATACACTAGGAGATCCCAGCTCTTGTCTCCCCGATGAAAGCAAGAATTGAACAACAACTTTACCAACACAGACAGCTCTGGGAATGCTCCAGAGTGCAATGAAGGAGTGGCAGGAACTCATTGAAGCAGCCTCAAACCAAGGTGCTGGAAGCATTTTATCTGCATCAGCCCATCCTCCACCCTGGCACAGCTTGGCAACAAAGGGGATCTCTTTGGCTGTGACCTCTCTCTATGGGGAAAGAGGTGATCAGAACCCCAGTAGCTTTTGTCACCATCATGGACACCCACAGCTTTTATGACTGATGACGCCCACAATCTTCACTGATGCTGACCCCAGCTAATTCAACTGCCCAGAATCCAAGTTGTATCCACCTGGAGCCAGAACTGTCACACCCCAGCTGGTGCCCTCATACCCGCCCACAGGTGAAGGTCTTTCCCCACCAAAGCCAGCCCATAACGTCTGGAAGAGGTGACTGCTCCTTTAAATGTGTAGACACAAATGCAAGGTTATAAGAAACATATAAAACCAATGAAACATGACTGATTTTCCAGTAACCAACCCGAGGGAAATGGAAAGCCTTGAATTTTCTGGCAAAGAACTCCAAATAATTGGTTTAAAAAAATCTCAGTAAGCTGTAAGAGAACACAGTCAGACAACTCAACATATTCAGGAAAACAACACATGAACAAAACTAGAAGTTCGACAAAGAGATAAAAGTCATTAGAAAACCAGGAATTTCTGGAGGTGAAAAGTACAATGAATGAAATAGAAAATATGATGGAGAGCCTTAAGAACAGATTCAATCAAGCAGAAGGAGGAATCTGTGAATTTGAAGATAGGTCATTTGAGATTATCCAGTCAGGGGAGAAAAAGGAAAAATAAAAATAAAAAAGAATGAAGACATCCTATAGGATTTATGGACCATAATCAAGTGAAGCAATATATGCATTATGAAAGTATCAGAAGGAGAAGAGAAAGGGTTAAGAAGTTTACTTAAAGATTTAATGGCTAAAAACTTCCCAAATCTTGGGAGAGAAATGAACATTTAGATTAAAGAAACTCAAAGGGCCTAAAATAGGGTCAGTCTGAAGAAGGATACAATGAGATACATTATGACCAAATTGTCAGAAGTCAAGAACAAAGCGCATTTTGAAAACAGCAAGAGAAAAGTGACATCACATCTAAGGCAATGTGGGTAAGACTATCAGTGGATTTCTCAGCAGAAACACTGTAGGCCAGGAAAGAGTGAGATAATAAATTCAAAGTACTGAAAGAAAAGAAGAAACCCTGCCAATCAAGAATACTATACCTGTAAAATTATCCTTAAAAATGGAGAGAGAAAGTCTTTCCCAAATAAACAAAACTGAGAAAGGTTGTTACCCCGAAGCCTCACTTACAAAAATGATGAAGAGGTTTCTTCAATTTGAAATGAAAACATGCTAAGCAGCCACGAGAAAACACATGAAAGTATAAATCTCAATGGCAAAGATAAATATGTAGACAAATACAGAATAATGCAACATTTAGCATATAAATTACTGTTAACCCTAACATAAGAGTTAAAAGATAAACGTTTATTAAGAGACACACAATGTAAAAAGAAGCAAACTGACTACAAGAACACAAAACGTGTAGAATTGAAAGTATAGTTATTGTGCATGATCAAAGTTAAATTGTTACCAACTTAAAATAGACAAGATCTTTTAAGCAAGCCTTGAAATAAGTACCCAAACCTCTATCACTGATATACACACACATACACACACACAAAAAAACAAAGCAAATCATTACAAAACATCATTGAATCAAAGAGAAAACAACTGCCAAACAGACAGAAAACAATAAGCAAAATGGCAATAATAAGTACATATCTATTAATGGTCTCTTTAACTGATTATAGATTAAACTGCCCAACCAAAAGGCATAGAGTGATTGAACAGATTTTATAAAGACTCAGCAATATGCTGTCCACAAGAGACTTGCTTTAAATTTAAAGGCACAAATAGGTGGAAAGTGAAAGGATGGAAAAAGACATTCCACGCAAATGGTAACCAAAAGAAAGCAGAAGTGAGCATACTTATATCAAATAAAAGAGAAATTTAGTAAAAAATTATCTCAAGACAAAGGACATTATATAATGATGAAATGGTCAACTCAACAAGTACGTATAATAGTTTTAAATATGTATGCAACCAACATCAGAACATCTAAAGCATATAAGGCAAACGTCGGCAGATAGGAAGGAATAAAGTTATAGCATTACAGTAATAGGCACTGTGCTTTGATGTCCCACTTACAATAATGGATAAAACATCCAGACAGAAAATCGGTAAACAGATGAGTTGCACAGCACCACAGACTAAAAAGACCTAACAGACATGTCCAGAACTTTCTATCCAACAACAAAATAATGCATTCTTCTCAAGCATACATGTCATATCTCTAGGTTAGATCACATGTGAGGTCACGAAACAAATCTTAACAAATTTAAGAAGACTGAAACCATTCCAAGTATCTTTTCCAACAGTTAGAGAATGAAACTAGGAATCAGTAAGAAAATGGGCAAATTCACAAATATACAGAAACTAAACCACACATTTTTGAACAGCTATTTGTTCAAAGAGGAAACCAAAGGGAATCTAAAAATTATCTCAAGACAAAAACAAAAGCAATACAACAAAAGTTATACAAGGCAGCGAAAGTAGCATTGAGGAAAGTTTACAATGATAAATGCCTACAGTGAAATCTCAACCAAATAAGTCCACTAGTAATTTACCTCAACACAATAAAGGCCATGTGTAAAAAGTCCACAGCTAAAATCATTATTAAAATTAAAAAAAAAACCTTCTGTCAAATATCTGGTAGAAATGGTGCTCATTCTTGCCATGTCTACTTAACATAGCACTGGAAGTTCTAGCCAAAGCAATTAGACAAGTAAAATAAGTTAAATCATCCACGTTAGACAGGAAGGAGTAAACTAAATCATCTACATTAGACAGGAAGGAGTAAATTAAATCATCCATGTTAGACAGGAAGGAGTAAATTAAATCATCCACGTTAGACAGGAAGGAGTAAATTAAATCATCCACGTTAGACAGGAAGGAGTAAATCACTTCCATTGTCCAACAGCATCATCCTATATGTAGAAGATCCTACAGACACAACAACAACAACAACAACAACAACACACTGTTAGAGCCAGTCAGTGAATTTCATAAAGCTGCGGGACACGAATCAACTTACAAAAGTCAGTTACGCTTCTACAAACAAACGAGCTATCTGAAAAATCAATAAAAAACTCATTCCTAATAGCAGCAAAATAATAATAATAATAATAAACATAACCAAAAAGGTGAAAGTCTGATACACTGAAAATTATAAAGGCAATGATGAAGAAAATTAAAGGGAACACAGACCAATAAAAGGGCATCTAATATGCATGAACCGGAAGAATTTATATTATTAAAACGTTCATACTACCCGGAGTGATCTACAGACTCCATACCATCCTTATCAAAATCCCAAGGGCATTCTTCACAGAAATAGAAAAAACAATCCTAAAATTCATATGGAACCAGAAAAGATCCTAAATAGCTAAAGCAGTCCTGAGCAAGAGGAGCAAAGCTGAAGGTGTCATACTTTCTGATTTCAAAATACAATGCTTTAGGAATCAAAACAGCATGGCGCTGGCATAAAAACAAACATACAGACCAATGGAACAGAAGACAAGCCTAAAATAAATCCAGGCATCTACAGTCAACTGATCTTCCACAAGGGTGCCGAGAATACACAACAGGGAACGGAGAGTCTCTTCACAAAATGGTGTTGGGACAATTGGAGTTCCACATCAAAAGAATGAAAGTGGACCCCATCTCATAACATATACAAAGATCAACTCAAAGTGGATGGAAGACTCAATGTTGCTCTGCAGCTGTAAACCGACAAGAAGAGAACACAGAGGAAAAAGCTTCACGACGTTGGTCTGGGCAAAGATTTTTGGATATGATGTCAAAAACACAGGCAACGAAAGCAAAAATAAGTGAGACTGAATTAAACTAAAACGGCAAATCTGCAGAGGAAAGGACAAAATCAACAGTGAAGAGACAACCACTGGAGAAAATACTTACAAATCACATATTTGCTTAGTGGTTAATGTCTAAAATATATAAAGAACACCTACCATTCAATAGCAACAACAAAAACCAAACAAACCTGATTTAGAAATGGGCGAAGAACCTGATTACACAGTTTTCAAAGAGATAGCAACGATCAACAGGTCTATGAAAAAGTGTTCAGTATCAGTAATCAAATCCGCAGACCAAAGCCAGAATCAGCTATCCCCTCTACAGAGGCTACTAGCACGAAGGTAAATGATAACAAAGGGTGGCAAGCGTGTGGAGAACAGAGAATCCTGTGAATTGCTGGTGGGGATGCAAATTAGTACAGCTAGTATAGAAAACAGTATAGAGACTTCTCAAAAAATTAAAAGTAGGACCACCATTTGATCCGGAAATACCTCTTGTAGGCATATACCCAAAGGAAATAAAATCAATTTCACAAAGAGAAATCTGTGTCAGATTTCAATGTATTTCAGTGTCGTCACAGTAGCCATGAAATGGAAACCACCCAAACGTCTGTCAATAAATACATGGATATGTGAAATGCATATATACATAAATACAATAAGTAAATACGTATATGTATATACACATGGCACGGTTTTCAGTGTATCCCTGGAGTCCTTCCAGACAGCTCCTGCCCTGTCCATTGCAGTTGGTTGCCAAAACCCCCCTCTGTCCTGGCACCCAGTGTCCCCCTACCCTAACTCCACATTTCACCCCCATGCCACTGCCTGAGTGCACCATAATGTCCCCGTCCCCCCATCAGTAACACACACACACACACACACACACACACACACACACACACACACATCATTCTGCCTTGGGAAGGAGGGAAATTATATCACTTCCAACATCATGGATGAACCTGGAGGCCACTATGCTAATTGAAATAAACCAGACACAGAAAAAAATAAACACTGCATGATCTCACTTATATGAGGGACCTAAAAGGGCAAAACTCATAGCAGGAGAGAGAATAGTGGTTTCAGGGGGGTGGGAGTGGTAGGGTGGGGAGAAATGGGGGGATGTTGGTCAAAGGCTACAAAGTTTCAGTTACACAAAATGAATAAGTTCTGGAGATGCAATGAACAGCAATGTGACTCTAGTTCACGGTATTATATGTTTGAAATTTGCGATAAGAGTGGCTCACACACACACACACAAAGAAAATGGTAACCATGTGAGGTGGTGTATGTGTTAATTAACTTGATTGTGGTGATTATTTCACAATGTATACTATTTCACAATGTATACAAATATAAACACATCAAGTTGTGTATCTTAAACACATACAGTTTTAAATGATCAATGATCTCCCCATAAAGATAAATAAGCATTGTATGTTGCATTATTTATACTTACTGCAAATAGAAAAATTATGTCAAAGTCCATCTACGTAAGGATCTAAAATATAAAAAAAATTTGCACAGTAAAATATTTTTTCTTTTATTTCATGGAATTGTTTATTGCATTTATTAGTAGCAGTGCATTTTTCACACAATATTCTCTTTTACTTAAACTTAATGCGTATGTAGTAAGAAAGATTTACTATCCCAAGTGGCCTCTAAGTATTTACATGAGGATAAAACAGATATGGTGTAACACGCCTCTCCCCTGCTTACTCTGTGTACTTAGAAGGCAGAAAGCAGAAACCTGGCCCTGTCTTCCTCTGGTTTCTCAGGATGCCCACAGCACATGCTGGGGATCCAGATGCAGGGGACAGCCAGGTCTGTTTTCAGGAAGTTGCAGCCAGCAGGGCACAGTTAGGATGTGCCCTGATAAAGGGGTACACAAGAGGAACCCAGGCAGTGGGGGAATGGGGGCACCACGGTGCTCTCAGGCGGTGGCAAGGGGACAAAACATAGGAGTTAGGGTGGAGGGACACTGGGTGCCAGGACAGAGTGGGGCATGGGATTGGGACTGTCTGGAAGGACTCCAGGGAGACACTGAAAGCTGTGCCAATGCATTCGCCGTGAAACCTAAGAAACTCAGCACACGTTCTCCCTCTGCTCACTGAGAGTTTGCATTTATCTCGTGGCACTTTTTGGTGTTCAGTCCAATCTGCAGTAATTACGGACAGCCCATCATATGCAGAAGACTGCCTGGCATGGCAGACAAAGACGTGTAGAGATAAATCCCTGCCTTCAGGTCTTACAATCAGTAAGGTTATTAAGGCAAAGCCCCAACAATAATGCAAATCATATTATATTTTAATAGAATATGATTTCCACACGTTTCATCTCTCTGGATCTCCCTCAGTGCCTACCAGAAAGGTGTTTCAATGCACAATTGGTACTCTTATTCTTCTCATGCCATCTTCATTATTTATTGTTTCAAAGGAAATCCAGTAGTTTCAATGATTTTTCAATGTACATCCAGCTTCTTTCTGACATGCAGAATATTTGCATTAATAATTCATGATTACATAATCTCTCCATTCATTTCATGAATCCAAAGATTTTAAGCCAGTTACGTGCTTCAACAGATAATCTATGTGATAAAGTATCTCTAGAAAAGTTAACTGTCTTGCCAAGCCCAGCATCTATTAAAGGGCTTCTTGTCTCCCATCTGTTTTAACCACACCTTACACTGATGTTGAATGATATAGGTAAGTGAACTTCATCTTCACCCTGAAACACACAATTCAACATCATCTTTCTGAACTAAATAGAAAAAAAATAAGCAATGCATATGTGCCTCCTGTTTTACTCACTTGAGACAATATAGACATTTAGGTATTCACATATCATTGAATTCATTTGGATCTTTGAATACTTGAGCTTCAAATTCCATCTGGCTCTGTAAAAAAAAGGTACTCAATTTAGTATAGATTTACAAAAAAGGCAGAACAACACAAAATGTTCTGTATGCCTCCTTAGTGTGTGTCGAGACAGGATAACTGAGTGATGGGCATCGCGAATGTCTGGTGTTTGGGTGTCTCACGGACAGGTCTCATAACTACACTCCAAGCACAGGGCTTCATTCTGTGGCCACGGAGATGAACAAGAGCACTTGATCCAGAGCTCCAAAAGTCTCCAGCCTGGTGGCAGAGACTGGTCAGGAATCGGCAAGCATCAGTCAGGGCTGAAAGGCTGTGGGAGGGAAAGGCACAAGCCGGATTCTGGGAGTCTAGGAGGATGAATCAGGGCACGGCCGAGTCTTGGTTGGGAATGAGACACTTTCTGGAGCAGGAAGGCTGTACTGAGGGCCAAGGGTGAGGGAGACATGGTTCAATAAGGCAAGAATCCAAGAGCATTCATGGGATTTATTTACAAGGCAGGAGGGTGACCTAGCACTAGCGGATTCAGGGATAGATGGGAAGAAGTGATAGTTAGATTTTAAATGAATTCTTTTGAGAAACTAGGCTTTGAGAAAGAAAACCATTATACAAGAAATAGAAGTAATGGGTGTGAGATTAAGATAAGTTCTCTCCTTTTCTTTCCTTCTTTCTTTCATTTTGATTTTCAGATGGTACAGTTTTGAATCTTTTAAATTTCTAATGGGAAGGTTTCACTAGAGAGGGAAGAGAGTGAAGATGTGGTATAAAGGTAAAGGTCAATAATGAAATAGTTCCTGAGGAGATTAGGAGATTCAGAGCTTCCCATCAGGCACTTCTCAGACCCACCTACCCACCTTGCCCATCCATCCACCTCATCTATCCATCTGTCTACCCACCCACCCACCTCACCCATTCATTCACCTCACCCATCTATCCATCCATCCACCTGTCCACCCATCCATCTACCCACTCACTCACCTCACCCATCCAACCACCCATCCCTTTACGCACCCATCTACTTCACCCATCCATTCACTCCATCCATCATCCATCCATCCATCAATTCATCCATCCATCTGCCCACCCATCCATCTACCTACCCACCTACTTCACTCATCCACTCACCTCACCCATCCATACACCCATCCACCCCATCCATCCATCCATACACCCACCCACCCATCCATCTACCCAGCCACCTACCTCAACCATCCATCTACTTACCTCACCCATCCATCCATTCATCCATCCCTCAACCTACCCACTTACCCACCCACCTCACCCATTGACTCACTTCATCATCCATCCATCCATCCATCCATCTACTCACCCACCCATCCATTCACCCACCTACCCATCCATCCATCCATCTACCCACCCACTCACCTCACCTATCCAACCACCTCATCCATCCATCCATCCATCCATCTATTCATCCACTCACATCCATCCATTCATCCATCCACCTACCTACCCCCACACCCACCCATCTCCATCTATCCATCCATCCATCCAGCCACTCACCCACCCATCTACCTGCTCACCTCACCCATCCATTCATACATTTACCCAACCATCTACCTATCCACCCTCCCACATCATCCATCCATCCATCCATCCACCCACCCATTTCATCCATCCATCCATCTAACCACCTATCCATCCACCTCACCCATCCATCTATCCACTCATCCATCCATTCATCCATCCATCCATCCATCCACCCACCCACCCACTTTATCCATCCATCCATCCATCCATCCATCCATCCATCCATCTCTCATTACTAGACACACACCATATGCTACACATAGGGTATGGAGAAACACAGTGAAACAAAAACTAAGTTCCTGGCCTCAGTGAGCTGACATCTATGTGGGAAGGCAGATATACGTAGGTAATTTAAAAACTGCTAAGACAAAGAAGGAAAGCAGGGCTAGCGGATGAAGAGGGAGGATTGTTAAGATGGTCAAGACAGGGCTACGTGAGGAAGTGGCACTGGAGCAGAGACTGGATGAGATGAGAGACTGAGGTCCAAGGTCTGGGGAAAGGGCTTCTAGACAGAGGCAGCGGCAAGTGCACAGACTTGGAGGAGGAACACGAGATGGCTGCTGTGGCTCCAGCAGCAACAGAAAAGGGAGATGACAGGAGATATCGGTGGAGAGAGGGAAAGGGCCCACTGGGTCCACTTCAGAACCCTCGGGGGGTTTTGAGCAAGGGAGGGGCCTGACAGCATTTGCGTTTAAAACATGTTGGATAGTGTAGAGAAAAGTCAGTAGGGGACAACAGTGGAAGCCAGAAAGCTAACGATCTAGGCTACAGGACAGATGACAGTGGCTTAACTTAGAGTGGTGGCCAGCAGCTATGTGGAGAAGAGGCTATATTCAAGGACATATTTTGGAGGCGTAGCTAACTGTGTCACAAGAGAGAAATTAAAGATGGTCCCTAGGTTTCGACTGAACAACTGGGTGTATGTGGTTGCCATTTATTGAGACAGCGAAGACCCAGGGAGGGCTGAGTTTGGGGAAAAGTAAAAAAGTGTGTTGAGGACATCTAAGTGGACATGCTGCGTGGGCAGCTGGAGACACACGCTAGGGCTGGGAGGAGTGACACTGTTTCTGTATCACATCACACCGCCTGCCTCAATCTCCCAGGGATGCCTCATCACTTTCGAGACTAAATCTGAGCTCCAAGCTCCGCAAGCTGTGCTTCTGCAGCCTCATCACCAGCCTCCGAGCACACCAAAGCCTCGTCCAGTGCAGATGCATTTGCATCTCTTGCTCCATCTCTCTCTCTCTCTGTCTCTCTGCCTCTCTTTTGTGCATACATCATCCATCTGATCCATTTTCCCCTATCTGATCTGGCTACTTTGTCCTTTGAAAGCTAGTTTTTCTGATAAGCTTCCTGTCTTACCAGCCAATCACCAGTCCTCCCATACAGCTGCTTAGATGACCTCTTCTCAAATTCCACAACACGCTACACATACCTCTATGACTCTGGCGCCAGGGTACCCAGAGTACTCCACTAATGAGGGGGTGAACTCAAGGTGCCTAAACTCTCCAAGCCTTGGTTTCCTCACCTGGAAAATGAGGCTAATATTACTACCTACTTCACAGGGTTGTTATGGGGATTAAATGAGGCAATGTGAGGCTTAGTGTTTACAACATCACCTGGCATAGACAAAGCACATACAAGTAGTTAAGTATCATTATAATAATACATATCATGCTCTTGTGTAATTATTTTCACTGGAAAATGTGAGCCCTTGAGTAAAACCACTGAGCCTTTCATCTGTGCTATGGCACGCATTAAACTCATTAATTGTTTCTCACATGAATGAGTTAAAGAATGAAACACAGCACTCACTGGGCCATAGCAGTACTGTGAAATGAATCAGCAGGTTCTTCAGTGGGCTTTCTGTATTTAAAAGGTATTCTCTCCGGGTGGACAGGATCTGTCTGATCCACTACTCATCAGACGAAGAAGTCCTGGGTTGTTCTACATTCTACTTTGGTTACTGTTCAGGGAAACTCACATCAGTACCTTTGGATCAGGAAGGCATGGTCCAAAGGCCTCCAGGAGAAGAGTCTCTTTTCTCACAGCCAGCTCATAGTCTGCAAAAGACAGCTTCCCATCATGGTCATGATCCTGGGGGGATGAGAAACATGTGAAGCAACCCGTAAAATGATTACTGTAAATACATGCTCTTCATAGTCAAGTGTCAATTTTTTTAAATGTGCTAGGCTGGGCATGGTGGCTCAATCATAGCACTTTGGGAGGCTAAGGCGGGGTGATTCCTTGAGGCCAGAAGTTTGAGACCAGCCTGGGCAACATAGTGAGACTTCATCTCTATTAAAACAAATTAGCTGGGCATGGTGGTGTGCACCTCTAGTCCCAGCTACTTGGGAGGCTGAGGCAGGAGAATTGCTTAAACCCAAGAGTTTGATTATGCAGTGAGCTGTGACCCAGACCAAGACCCTGTCTCAAAAAAAAAAAAAAAAAGAAGTGCTAGAAAAATAAGAGGTTAGGTGGTGAAATTGAGAAGAACTATTAATTTTATAATAAAGAGCATAATTTATGTGTTTTATTTAAGCAAGCAGGAAACTGAAAATTATTATAATTTGAATTCTTATTTTTAGCTCATATCTGGCCCACAAATTTTAATATAAAACTTGACATTACCCATATTTACCATTTTCTTAAGTGTTATTTCAACCAAATCTTTAATGCCTTCATCAGGGTCTTCCTCAGTTGGCTGTTTGAGAAGGCTGTTCTTCAGCATGTGAAACATTTCCTCCTTTGAAATGAATCCGTCACCATTCAAATCAAACACTTCAAAGCAATCTTTTTTAAAAATAAGAAATTATGAATTTGATGCTATCAGGAAGGTAATATTTTCTCTGGTAAAGTTTTCAGGGCCAAGTTCTATCTTGATGCTGTAAAAGTCTTACTGGCCTTAGTGCAGCCTGATTTCCACAGTGAGTGCCAATATATACTAGGATATATTCAATAATCCTTAGAAAACATTTCCTTACTCTCAAGTATGAAAAAGCATACCAACGAACAGTAACTTCAATATCTTCACCCTGAAACTCTTGGAAAACTGATTGAACTCATAAGGAGAGTTCATCAGAATTAACTGAGAGTTAATTAAGAATAAGAACACTTGCATCAATATTCTCCAGTACTGAAATCTGTCAAAAGCTTAATATATAAATGTGTATGTACACAATTAGCATGTGTAGCAATGCCTATGGAGTCTTCCTTGGCATAAATTACTCCTTGGAATGACTTGATATTTCTTTTTATTAACTTTCTTCCATATTTCATTGACTTGAATTCACTCCATAAAACAGGCTACTGGGATCCAAATCAACTAACCGGCCAACCAACAAACCCACTTCACTGGCTTACTGGCGGGGTTGAAGGACACTGGTTTAAGTGCCTTAGATATGTAATTCACAATGTGCAGACCCTTAGGACAAACCTCAATCTTACATTTCATTTTTTCTTCCAAAGATCCGCGAAGAAACAGAGATAATCCATGAACCCACTCCGATACGTTTACACAGCCATCGTTATCTTTATCAAAAGCTCGGAATACTAAAGGGAGAGAGGTGAAATGTAACACCTGTGCTGCATGGTAACTCGGTGAAGCATCTACACTGGCATCACTCACTTTTAAAACTAAGAGAACACTTCGGCTTGTGCGGTCCAATATTCTCATCTGACAAAGAGGAAACTAAGACATCTTCATATCATGAAACTCTTTTATTAAACATTCAATTTTTAAAATGTTTTCGTGGGAATGAATACAGTTCTCAATGCCTAAATGTATTAATCATTAATAATAGATATGTTGGTCATGTTAATGAGATAGTTAAATACTAATATAAATAAAATACTCTTTTTGTTACTCAAGTCATTACATGTTGCATAGAATTATATCTTGTCACTGAAGATGTAAATAATTTAAATGTCCTTTAAAAACTATTCTATTTATTAGTTTTATTGAGTATAAATAGAAATGCTTTGGGTTTTCTGATATAAAGTAAGGGAAAGGTAGTTAGTCAACATGACTCTGCCTTCTTCTTAAATACACAAAATAAAGCCAAATATTACCTCTTTTCTATGATCTTTTCAAAATTAAATTTGTATATTCCAGTGGCACAGGGAATGCAAAACACTAAGCTTCCTACCAAGAGGATGTCCAAAAGCCAAAACTTTTTTTTTCAGTTATGGCTGGATTTGGCCAATTTGAATCTCCTGTGTCTCTTACCTCTGTCCATAATCATGTCATCTGTCATTCCAAACGTCACATGCAGGATGTTTCGAAAGGCATTACGATCCAGTCCAATAATCAGACCTTGCCTCTCTACTCCTCCCACCAAGTTGTAAAAAAGCCTTATAAGACAGTTCACTTCAAATTTATTAACTGAAAGAATAAAACAGATATAACAAAAATGAATCCTTAATCTTTAAGCTCTAACTTAAATTTTGCATTAATAAGTTTACAAACAACATAAAAGACATCAAATAGGTAATTGTCAATAGAAGACTCTCTTGTTTTGAGATTCATGACCCTTAATAGAAATAGAAGTAGCACACCCTCCAAACAGGAGTTCCCACGTTTAGGGGAAAAATATGACAGTATTAGCTAAGTTATTAGACTAATGATGGTGGTGTAGGATTCTAAACTCTACAAGGCTGGTAGAAATATGACTCAAAATAAGAATGGTAAGGTTTAAGAATGGTAACTTTTTCCCAGTGTTTATTGGCATTCATGAGTTTACAACTTCTTTTCCCTGGAAATAGATGTCAGTTTCATGAAAAGTAGGTAACAATTTTCATTTCACTTTAGCCTTCATGGATTCATAAGCCAGATTTTGGAAACCAGAGTCACTAGTTTTTCAAAAAAAAAGCTTTACAGTATAGTCTAGCACCCAATATGGCTCTTGTTGAGGATTATGTAAAAATTAATATGCAACTATTCAGTAATTGTTGGGAGGAAAGAAATTTTTTTAAAGGATATATACACACAGATGCTTGCTCATACACATATTGTGTAAAGAACCATGGTTATAAATACCGAGCTGATTATTTGTGTTCCAATTCCCATTTGAGAATGTAGGTGGAAGGGTTATTGCTTGGTCTTGAAAATATAAAAGCCCAAATACCAAGTATGAGCGAAAGTTGGGGAAAATTTGTTTTGAAACCAGGCAGAACTATGATTGAGCATTTTAAGAAAACAAGGACAAAACCTGTGTGTGTGCGTGTAACAGAAGACAGCATCTAGGAATGGAAAAAGCACGCCTCATCTTAGAGGTCAGTATGGGCTTTTGTGGGATTTCTGGTTTTGAGAACCATGCTTAAAGAGAAATACTGAAAACTCTGGGAAAAAAAGGATTCAGTAAATAAATAGTAGGAAATAATATAATGGTTATGATTTTAAAAACAGCTGTTGTCACTGTGGAAAACATTAGGATGGTTCCTCAAAAATGTAAACACAATTATTGTATGATCCAGGAATTCTACCTGAGTACATACCGAGAAGAACTGAAAGCAGGAACCTGTACAACAATGTTCATAGTGGTATTATTCAGAACAGTCAAAAGACAGACGCAAGAGTCCATCAATGGAGGGATGGACAGACAAGATGTGGCATATTTATACAATAAAATACTACTATTCAGCCGTGAAAAGGAAGAAAATTCAACAGATAAATGAACATTTATGGACACTATGCTAAGTGAAATAGGCCAGACACAAAAGGACACATATTGTATGATTCCTTGTACATGCGGTACTTAGAGTAGTCAGATTCATAGAGACCAAGTAGAATGGTGATTGCCAGGGGCCAGGAGGAGGAGGGGATGGTGAGTTAGTGTTTCATGGGTAGAGTTTCTGTTGGAGACGATGAAAAAGTTCTGGAAGTGGATGGTGGTGATGGAAGCAGAACAGAGTGAAACAGAACAATGGGAATGTACTAATGCCATGGAACTAAGCACTTAAAATGGTCCAAATAGTAAATTTCATGTATGTAAACACACACACACCACACCCTTCTGAGAAAGCAAGAGCTGTTAGTGGTTGGGGAAGAAAAGCCTGCGGGAAGAACGATGCACTCTGTTCATGTATATAAAATGCTAGCAGATGGGATGTTGCTTAGCCATTTTTCTGTCTCAGCTGAAATAAAACCTTTTTAAAAATCAGTTTAATTTGTTACCCAAGGGATCAAAGGTTAGCCATAAGAAAACTTTAATTGCTAAATATTTCTTAAATTCTGGAATACAATATTAAATGAAACTGAAGAAAATTCAAGAAGAGATTTTCATCTTCTTGGAATGCTCTAAATACGTCCTGCAGAACATATCTGCAGAATGGTGCATGAACTAGATGCCCTCTTAAGATCTTTTACTCTTCTTTGATTCTACAAAATTTATCATTGAATCTTGATAGCTCTATTGTCTTGGAACTAAAACAAAATTTGACTTTAGGGGAAACTTCTTCTGTTCAAGGAAATCTAAAATTATTATAATACCCATGACTTGTAACTCTTTCTATAGACTTTAATAATCATCTAAGTTTGTAAGGCTCATTAAAATTGTTTTATGTAAAGAAAAAATCAAAGGAGTAGACTTTTTCCTGCCATATTTTTACTCATCTTTTGAAATATACACTCACCTTTTGATTGTTCAGAGAATGATTGTTTGCAATGCATTCAAATTTACTGAACAGAAACTAAATAAATTCAAACTTAAGGAAAGGGACAAAATCAGTATTGTGTACAGCAGCAATTGCATTGTTTTTGAATATTTATCAAAAATGTTTACTAGATGTTTCAACAATACCTATTTTTCTCCCAGAAATGAAAGTGTTTTAAGAAAAACAATAACAGAACAAAACTCTCATCGGAGTATAAGTCATAATAATACCTTAAATTACAGGATATTTTGCCTAAAATTTGTAAGATGCTTATACACACCATAACGTTCATTTATGCCACCATCCCACTAAGAGAGCATTTCTTACCAGTTATTAATCAGATACTAATGGTGATTCGAATGCACTAGATCTCACACTCTCTAAAACTACATCAACAGGTTTATTGCTTCTTCTTTGAGCAACCCAGGTCTTTGCTCAAAGACCAGTTGCTTCTGCTTCTTCAAGTGGCGAGCAGTTTTGCAATCAGCACACAACTTCTAAGTTTGCTCGACAGGCAATATCTTCCTCGTCTCAACCATATCCACGGCTTCCCTTGCTCAAGTGCAATTCTGTTTTTCAATCTGAATAGAATCTCAACATCTCCTATGAAATTCTAGGACCACCCTTTCAAATGCGAGATTAGAGCAGGCGCCTTCAATAAGGCAGTGCCCTTGGGTTAGAGCAGGCGCCTTCAATAAGGCAGTACCGTTGGGTTAGAGCAGGCGCCTTCAGTAAGGCAGTACCGTTGGGTTGAAAGCCTCCTTTATCTTTCAACACCACGGGCCACTGGAAAGTGGGAGTCTAAAGTTTGGACCCTTTCTTTCTTTCTTTTTTTTTTTTTTTGAGACTGAGTTTCGCTGCTGTTACCCAGGCTGGAGTGCAATGGCGCGATCTCGGCTCACCGCAACCTCCACCTCCTGGGTTCAGGCAATTCTCCTGCCTCAGGCTCCCGAGTAGCTGGGATTACAGGCACGCGCCACCATGCCCAGCTAATTTTTTGTATTTTTAGTAGAGACGGGGTTTCACCATGTTGACCAGGATGGTTTCGATCTCTTGACCTCGTGATCCACCCGCCTCGGCCTCCCAAAGTGCTGGGATTACAGGCGTGAGCCACCGCGCCCGGCCTGGACCCATTCTTTACCACCTGTTTAGTTGCATGAACTCTGGTTTCCAAACAAATCTCCTTGCTCTGAGGCACAGATGAGATGACACAACTCATCTCTCCTAAAGATGTTCAGAGCTTGGGCACCATTTTCTCCTGTGGGTCTCTTGGCAAGCTTCCAGAACTTAGACCTGCGGGTATATGTGCGAGCTAGAAAGCAAGGTGGGTGTACGATCTACGTCCGGGGTGCTACTTTTCTTAAGACCAGTGGGTTTTAGCATTTATTTTACACCTCCCTTAGGCTAACACCACAAGTTTCTATCATGTAAAAGAAGAGGCTTGGAGAAGTGCATGTGTGGGAGTGTAGGTAGCACTAGAAGCGTGGGCCTGGGTTCCTAAGTTCCTGGGCGTTGGAGCCAAACCCAAGGAGCTAGCACCCCGGGATTCCCTCCCTGCTTCTGCATAAGGGGCGGGGGTGGAGGGGCGGTAGCCCACAGAGGCCTGGGCTGCGGGAAGCGGGCACAACTGCGGCCCTTAGCACCGGATGGGGTCCAGGCCCGGCCCAGGAGCCTCGTCTTGTCCAGCACTAGATTCTTACTTACAGTGCTTGCAATTTTTAGTTAAGGTGTCGGTCAGCTTCTGCAGCTTCTTGCGGTTCATGCCTGGCGCCCACGGAATCGGGCCGCGGCGGGGATCTCGGGGCGCTCGGCTGCCGAGACCCTCGCGGGAAGCCCGCGAGCCCTGGGGCTGGGGCAAAGGGGTGAGGTCTCCGTCAACGAGCGCGTGCGCGGCCCTAACAGACGGTGTAGCCATGACAACAGCTCTGCCCGCCGCCGATTGGCTCCCAGGCTGCCCGCGACGTGACCATGGCAACAGCCGGGCCCCGCCCATTGGCTCCGCCTCTGCGCGCTCTGGGTCCCGGGTGCGCGGTGCTGCAGGCAGGGTCCCAGCCGGGCGCTTCGTGGGCTGAAGTCTGATGCTGACTTTGGGGTTTAAATGTTCAGTTGTCTGTGGCTGCTGAGTGCACAGCCTCCTTGCTTTGCAGCGTAAATCATTAAAATCTGAAATACGGTGTGCACGCTTTGTGAGGGGTGGTGAGCGTCACCCCTCAAGGGGTGGCCTAAGATCTTGGACATCTTGGGGGCTGGAGCAGCGTCACAAAATAGCAAGGGTGCTGTCCAGATGGCTGTCAGCCTGGTGCAGGAGGGCGAGGAGCTTGCCCTTTGGGCGGAGCCGCTGCTCAGGCTGTCAGTGTTGCTGCGGTAGCAGGAGGCAGTCTGTCACCTGAGGTCTTCAAGTTTTTAGTGGTGTTTCTGAGAGCAAGGGGAAACTGGAATACAGTCAAGGCTTGCCTAAGGAGGGGGATGCGTTCTGAGGCCACTAGGCGATTTCCTCACTGTGCATACATCACAGTGCACGGACGCACACCTAGATGGCCTCGCCTACTGCACGCCGGGTTGAATGGTACAGCCCACTGCTTCCGGGCTGCACCCCTGCACAGCAGGTCACCCGTGGAGTGCTGCAGGCAGCTAGAACAGAGTGTGCTTCCCCAGAGGGCTTTTATATATGGATTATATATAAAATATCTTTTTTTATTTATTCATTTATTCATTCATTCATTTTTTGTTTGTTGTGAGACTGAGTCTCGCTCTGTCGCCAGGCTGGAGTGCAATGGCGCAATCTTGGCTCACTGCAACCTCTGCCTCCCGGGTTCAAGCGATTCTTCTACCTCAGCCTCCCGAGTAGCTGGGACTACAGGCACGTGCCACCACTCCCAGCTAATTTTTGTATTTTTGGTAGAGACGGGGTTTCTCTATATTGGCCAGGATGGTCTCGATCTTTTGACCTCAGGTGATCCGCCCGCCTCGGCCTCCCAAAGTACTGGGATTCCAGGCGTGAGCCACTGTGCCCGGCCCGGTGTTATATCCTATGGGACCACTGTCCTAATGCTGTCTGACGATGATCTAAATGGCGCTATGCAGCGTGTGACTGTAGTTTTTTTTTCTTTTCCCATTGCCCTCATCTCACTCTCAAAAGGTGGAGGTTGTCTGTGGAATCTGAGGAGAGCCACCGGGAATTTTTATAGTGGTTAAATAGGCATTCCCCCCCCAGTGAAAACAAACTGACAAGTACCCCTTGGGTGTGGGGTGCAGCCCAATCTTGCTTTTCCAGTAAATATCTCAGTAACCTTGGTCTTTTACTTATTTGAAAGACGGGTTCTGTGCCTGCAGACAAAGGACATTCCTTACATCTTCAGTGTGGGAGCACTTTCTGCTTTTCCTAACCACAGAGGGGATCCCCTCTTTCAGCTAAGGTGGCAATAGAAAGGGTGGCTCAGCCAGGAGCACCAAATCTGCGGTATTCCCCAGAGTACCTGCTTGTTTAACTTCAGAGGGGAAAACGCCTTTGGAATACAAATTATTTTACTGTACACGTACTCGCATTTTTAGACTGAAGGCAGAAAAATTCTACTAACTGAGAGTAATAATCCCAAATGAATAGTTCCAATGTCGAGGCCTCTGGTTTTTCTTCACTGTTTGATTTGTTTATGGAATGAAGGATTGGGACACTGTTTGAAACCACAGCAAAGGGTGCTTGGTTAAGCAGGGACTGGAAAGCAAATGTCCTGATATGAATTGACTGGTTATGAGTTTGTAATGGCAGTCTGGTTAAATAGCGTTTCTATGTATCCCCTTGTCTAGAAGCTGTGAAATTTCTGAGACCCTAAGAACAAAAGGGAAGGCTGAATATATTTGAATCACTTGAAAATTCAATTACATATTTGAATATTTGAATACTTACCTGTGATACCTTAATGATTTCTGTTAGATCACAAGAATTGTAGCAATTATTTAATTCCTAGAGATTGCTGCTTCTTGCTCACTTCAAGAGATAAGGACCCGAAAGAAGACTTGTCAGTAATTACTAAGAGAACCGGGGCTCCCCATCTGACGTTGTAGGCCTGTGCTGGGGGTGAGTACACTGGTGGTCGTTTCTGACTTTTGGGGAGATCGCATACACTGGGTGCTTGCTATGAGTGAGCTAATAAGTTATTCCTTCACCAGTTTCAGGCCTAGAGCCCATCAGCCATATTCCCTTAAAGTGAAAAAAAAAAAAAAGATGTAGGGGCAATATCACAGATTGTTGAAATTAAAATATGCCAAGCAAAAATCCTTAACCTGTTGAGCAAACTTTGTAAGTCCCTCCTCCTCTTCTACTTCTTTTCTCCTCCAGTTCTTTCTTTCTTCCATCCTGTTCTTTTAGCCAAAACAATCTCTACATCTATCTGTTTGTCTGTCTACGCAAGCGCATTGCTTTGTGAATCTCACTTATCTAAGAGAGTGGTTTACAGAGTTGACCTTACAGTTAGGTCTTCCCATCTTTTTCAGGGAAAGCACTGTGTTTATTTAGGGTATGTTTTGTCAACATATGGCAAACTCCAAGCTTTCATTACATTCTTGCAAAGTTTTGGAAGTTAATATTTTTAGATTTTAGGAACAAGTTGCAGGCCTGCTAGAGTTAGTGAATGACATTTCAAAGCAAGTTGAAGTTTCTATTTGTAGTTCTAGTTGCTTATGCTGCGTAGACACAGGACTGCTTTCTCCCAAGGGCTTTCTCAGAGTAAATCATGAAGCCTGAGAGGCTGCTTCATATCAAATCAATCAATAATGAAATAATAAAGGATTGTGTTTAACTTGTATTGGACATAAATTTTACTGTGCATGGAATGATCATAGAACTTTCCAAAATCCAAGCAACCTCAAGATGAATAGCTCTGTAAACACAGGAGTACATTAACCTGACTACTAACGTTGTTTCCTTCAGTTTTGCGTGCACAACAATCTTCCCTCTGACTCGGCTTTCACTGGATTGTTGCCATGATAAGCAGCCTGGACCTTGACTTGATGAAAGTGTTTTCCTTAATGTGGACCTTTTATGATGAAGGCCTTTGGATGCTGTTGAGGAAATGACATAGAATTGATCTCCAAGTATATCACAAATCTATTATAAAATTGCTTGAATCAAAGGAAAATAGAAAGGTTAGTTACCTGCATAATAGAAATTCAATCTTACTAATTTTGTTTTGTGGAGATAGTGATAAAAATGTCAGAGTTACCTGAGTGGCCAGGTTTTGGGTGGTGGAATCTCCAAGGGTGGTGGTGACAAGCTGCTGCCAGCATTCAGACCCAGAGGACACTGTCTCATGCACAGTCTGCGTTTTCTTTGCCCCGGCCACTCCCCGTGGGCAACTCTTCAAAGTGCTCTTTCAGCTCCCAATATGAAGTGAATCCTTCCCCAACCAGCCATTTTCTTCCTCGGTACCATTTTTCTAGCACTGGTCACTGTGTGAAACAACCTGTTTTTTCTAACCTCTCCTTCCACTAGACTAAATTACATGATCTCCCTCTCTCTCTCTCTCTTTCTCTCTGTCTTCCTATATTTAAGTCTATTTCACTTGCTGTGTCTCTGCATTTATTTGTTTATCACCTGCCTGTACCTCTGAAATCTGACCACACGGTCAATATTGTGTGGTCTGTATTGATGGAAAGTGGTGGGATAAACACTCCAGCAGGAGTGAACTCCGGGTTTCCCTGGGGCTGAGCCCCTGGTACAGTAACCACAATGGGGCCTTTAAATGGAGCCAGGCAACGTAGAAGAGCTTTCATTTAAAGCGACGTTTCTCCAAGATTCACTCTCGATATTCACTGCTGCTGATACATTTCTAGACTTTTTTTTTTTTAACTGCAATGAAGACCAGCCAGTAAGACAAATGCCCAAGGTTTACTAAGGATAGGATTCTTGTATCCTACATGTAATTTACAAAGTTGTAAATTAAGATGTGGCCTGTGACAGTTAATTAGTGTGACAGCCATAATGTCAGCAGGTTTGAAGGTTTCAGTAAAGAATCTGGCTCTTTGAGACCTGGCAGAGCTAACCAAGAAATCCTGCTGAATTTGCTGGGCTTGATCCCCTGAGACCTGGGTCATGAGCCCCAGCAGCCAGAGTCATGGCAACTGTACTATCGGCAAAGCTGCCTCAGAGACAGAAGATATCCACAACATTTTTTCCCACTCAGCCCAGAGCATCGTGCAAATTTTATCCCTGACCTGGGAATTCATGAGCATCACACACCACAGAACAGGACCCAACCTACCCATAGACCCCAGCAGGCAATGCCTGGTCCTCTAAGCCGATGACAACCAGAAAGTCACTGGTACCACTTCTAATACTTGCTACCGTCTTTTAAACCACTTCCCCCAGCTCCATAGTTCTTGCTCCCTAAATAAAAAGGAAGCTCCCAGGATCCCTACCCTGAGTCGTATTACCCCTTTAGCAGACTCTGCTTATGAGTCTGCACCTTCGTACCCCTTTCACTCATATTCAGCAAAACTCCTTTCCAACTGCAAATGTTTACCTTACTGGGTCCATCTTTGCACAAAGCCAGCTCTCCACCTTTCTTCCCTAAACCTGCCACTCCCCTGACCATAGTGCTTATCTTGTAGATATTCTCCACAAAAAACTACCCATGTCCTCAAATAGCCAGAAGAAAGTCAAAATCCTCCTGACTGTCATCAACTTTCCATGCTCTTATGAGCCTAGCCTTTCTTCTCTACACTTCCGAGGAAGCAGGTGTGGCTCCCCCTGCACTGCGGCCCTCTTTCTTTGCCCATCCTCCATGCTCCTGCCTGGTTCCTGAATTTGCCTGCTGTTACCCATCTTGTGCTCCTCAAAACTGTCTGCTGGGTTGCCAGAGTGCTCCAACCATTTCTTCCTCCTGCTTAACATTGAAAGGACTTCCCACTGCCAGCA